GGCACCACTCACCGGCAGAGCCTGGACAAGAAAAGGAGGGTGACGAAGGAGCAGTCACCGCGTGCGCCGTTGCGGTCGGCAACCTAAGTGGCCCCCCCAGAAGAGGCCTGAAGAGGCCTGAAGAGGCCACGAGAGGCCGGAATTCGCGCGAAACCACACGAAACGCAACGGAATTCGCGAGAAACCACAGCGGGAGCGTCGAAACCAAGGCCCTGCCTGGGTTTTTAGGGTTTAGGGTAAACCCAAGGTGGTCGGGCACATGACCTACAGCACAAAAGGCACACCACGACATACGACCCAAAAAGGTAGGGGCTTCTCGGTGGCTCTAAACTGTACTGTAGCCTTAGACATCCTTGCCTTCTGGGAGCTCCTTCTGGCTTCCTAAGATCAAATCGTCGGTGCGGTTTCGGGTTTCGGGTTTAGGGGTTAGGGTTTAGGGTGCAAGGTTTAGGGTTTAGGGCTTTAGGGTTTATGGTTTCCATGCAACAAGCCTTGACTCCCAGCATCCACGGGCCTCCGGTACATTCGGCTTCGGGATTTGAGTTTGCTCGCTGTATGGCGCTTTTTCATTGGAGGTGTCCGAGCCCGGCGCAGCAACAAAAATTAGGGTTTAGGGTTTAGGGTTTAGGGTTGAGGGTTTAGGGTTTAGGGTTTAGGGTTTAGCAGCCCCAAAAGACGCACCCTCAACCTCCTGCACCCCGCAACCTCCAAGCCCTAAGCCCGAAACCCGAAACTCTAAACCCTAAACCCCTGAACCTCTAAGGCTCCAAACCCTCACTAGTCTCCTGAACCCTAAATCCCGAACCCTAAAACCCAAAAACGCTATAAACCCCAAACCCTGAAAACCCAGGAATTTGCCCCTGAACTTCTTCCCAAGCCTTTGGGAAGCACTGAACAGTCTCCATAACAAAACACGGTGAAAAAAAGCGGAAGGCCTTAAACCCGAAACCCTGAACCCTAAACCCTACACCCTAAACCCTAAACCCTAAACCCTAAACCTTAAACCCTAAACCCCCACAAAGAGACATGTTGCAGGGACAGTTCTTGGAGTCTCTCCGAGCCATCGCAGGCGTGACTGAGGCGGGGCTTCCGACTCTTGAGGGGGTTTAGGGCGTTGAGGGTTTAGGAATTAGGGGTTAGAGGTTAGGGGTTTAGGGTTTGGGGAGTTTAGGGAGTTTAGGTTTTTGAAAGTTTCGGGTTTAGGGGTTTGTGAGTTTAGGGTTTAGGATTCAGGGTTTAGGGTTCTCTCTCATTCTATTTCCCTGGTTCTCTTTTGGACTGGGTGCCAGGTCGACACCCAGACTTACACCCTGGAGGCCGTGAACCTGATGGGCAAGGCGTGCTTGGGGATGCGGCTTGGGGGTTTAGAGTTTAGATGTGTAGGGTCTTGGGGTTTTGGGATTAGCTTGCGGTTTAGGGGGTTTCGCCTGATGGGCAAGGCTTGCTTGGGGATGCGGCTTAGGGGGTTTAGAGTTAGTTTAGGGTTCGGGGTTTGGCCCACTCGGGGCTTAGGGGTGCTCAGGACCTTGAAGGGCCTTTTAGGGGGGTTTTAAAGGGGTGTTGAAAGGTTTCGGGGGTAGAGCTTTAGGGCTTAGGGCTTGGGCTTTTTGTGTTTGTTAAGGGGTTTAGGGTTCAGGGGTAGGGGTCTTCGGCAACTACCCCAAACCGGACAAGTGGGAGTGTCCCTTTCGGATTCTGTGTTTCTTCCCCCTCCCCCTTCCCGCCCAGCCAGGCTTAGTAGCTTCCGAAACTGGCAAGTGGATTGTAGACGAGGACCCAGAGTAGGCCCTTGTTCCCATTTTTAGGGCTTAGGTTCCCTGATAAGCACCTTTAAACCAAAAAGGGCACCCTTTTTATTCCTAGGATACCCCAGCATCTAATCGAGCTACTTGGGAAGTTTTGGACCTTGGCAGAGGGAGAGACAGTGTGAGGCTTTAGGGCTTCGGGTTTTGGGGTTTGGGGTTCAGGGTTCTAAGGTTTAGGCTTGTAGGGTTCAGAGTTTGGGGCTTTGGGCTTAGGGCTTAGGGCTTGGGGCTTGGGGCTTGGGGCTTGGGGCTTGGGGCTTGGGGCTTGGGGCTTAGGGCAAAGGAGCTCTCACACGCAGGTGCCCATCAAGGTTCCCAAAGCGGCGAATGGCTGCATGGCTGAGGAACTCCAGCGACTATCTTTCAAAAAGTAGCCACAAGTGAGCGCCAAGGAGCACGAAGCAACCCTAAACCCTAATCCCTAAACCCTAAACCCTAAAACCCTAAACCTCAAAAAATAAGTAACTTCCTCAGCCCAACGCAGGTTGGCTTCGCACCCAGTAGGCCATATCAGGCCTTTGCTAGCATGGAGTCCAGTTTTAAAGATCGGTTTGAGACACACGCGAAGAGAGTATCTTACCCAACGTTGTAGCGACGCGCTTCTCTCTCTCCGGGATCCCGACCTGGGGCAGAGGCCGACCAAAAGGCATGTGCACTTGCAGGTTTAGGGTTAGGGTTTAGGGTTTAGGGTTTAGGGTTTAGGGTTTAGGGTTTAGGGTTTAGGGTTTAGGGTTTAGAGTTTGGGGTTTGGGGTTTGGGGTTTAGGGTTAGGGTTTAGGGTTTAGGAGGTTCATGGGTAGCTACAAGTAGGGATTCTGATTATTAGGTAGCTATGTTTCTACCCGCAAGCCCAATGCAACCAGCCCCCCCAAGCTAGCAGAGCTCAAAACCCTAACTTAGAAGAACCCTCTTTGTATGCCGAGGTCCCGGGTTTATGGAACACTCACATTGCCCCCACACACACACACAACCTCAGTCATCAAAGTTTACACCCTTTACACCCTTTACCCCCTTTACACCCTTTACACCCCTAAACCCTAAACCTAAACTGCGGCCCAGAAACTCAACCAGCCAACACCAAGCCCCATCCATGAGAACTATTCGTTATCTTGGTAGCCCAATGGTACTCCTATCCCTTTTTAGGTTTCGAGGCTCCCTTATAACGTAACCCACCCAAGAAAGGGGGTAGTATGGCTACCAAGTTAGCCCTAAACCCTAAACCCTAAACCCTAAACCCTAAACTTCTCGTTATTGGTTTCGGGTCGGTCCAAGAGTCCCAGGATTGTTAGAGGAGGGTCCATAGCTGGCCCCAGTAGTTATTTCCACAAAGGGTTTAGGGTTTAGGGTTTAGGGTTTGGGGTTTGGGGTTTAGGGTTTAGGGTTTTGGGTTTTGGGTTTTGGGCGACCTTGTCCCTTGATATGGTCCCTTGAAAGGGTTCTGAAGTATGGGCCCTTGGGTTTTGTAGGGGATATAAGGGGGTATGTAGGGTTCACAACTAAGGACCCAGATTCAGGGACCGTGCAACTACCCTAAGCAGAGCTCAGCGGGGGGGGGGGGTGCTTATGACTTTGGATCCCCTGTGCCCTGATGCAGATCAAACTAAGGAGCCCTTTAAGCGCTCGCGCCATAACACCGCGCAGAGCACCCTACACCCTAAACCGTAAACCCTAAACCCTAAACCCTAAACCCTAAACCCTAAACCCTAAACCCTAAACCCTAAACCCTAAACCCTAAACCCTAAATAGACCCTAGACTTAGCGTGAAAAGGAAGGAGGGGCGGGGGGGGGGGGGCGGTTCACAGTTTAGCGGCTTTGCGGTCGAGGTTTAGGGTTTAGGGTTTAGGGTTTAGGGTTTAGGGTTTAGGGTTTAGGGTTTAGGGTTTAGGGTTTAGGGTTTAGGGTTTAGGGTTTAGGGTTTAGGGTTTAGGGTTTAGGGTTTTTGCAGGAACTGAAGAGAAGAGCCCCCCAGCCATTAGGGTTTAAGCCCTCCCCCCCGAACCCTAAACCCTAAATCCTAACCCCCTAAACGCCCAAAATCCAAACCCATGCGCCTAGACTCTTCAAGTCTCTTGAAATCAAGCAGGCCGCAAACACAATGTTCTGCTGCTGGCCATGTCTCAAACCGTCCCAGACTCTAAGATCTTAATCCCCAAGCTCTATGATACAAATCCCAAGCTCAAAAGCTCGAAATCCCCAAACTCTAAGCCCTAAACCCTAAATTCTCAAACCCTAAACCCCAAACCCTAAACTCCAAACCCTAAACCCTAAACCCTAAACCTTAAGCCCTGAAGCCTTGCTGTCTTCAGCCCCTAAGCCCTCGAGACGCCGAGAACAACAGCTCTGCAGCCCACAAGCCCTGGACACTGAATGGCCCTAAACCTGAGGGTTTAGGGTTTAGGGTTTAGGGTTTAGGGTTTAGGGTTTAGGGTTTAGGGTTTAACTCAACCCTTCTTGGGGGCTCTTTCTCAGCAGCCTGCCATGTGCCACTGAGCTCAAGGCGCCTGGCGCAGGAGCGCGGAAGGATTTTTAGGAAGTGCGTTGCGTTTGCCCAGGATTCAGGGTTGAGGTCATGGGTTCCCCGACTACCCCCTCAAGAGGGTTTAGGGTTTAGGGTTTAGGGGGTTTAGGGGGTTTAGGGGGTTAAGAGACAGCTTCTAGGGCAGTACCGAAACTTCACCATGAAGAGCCAGTAAGTTTGGCAGGCTAGGCTACATTAGGGAGTTTGTCTGTTTGGGTTTGGGGTTGTGATTTTGGGTTTCGGGTTTAGGGTTTAGGGCTGTTCGGTTTTTTCTTTTCGTCTTCTTAGTTGAAGCTTTCGGGAACTGAACCTGGTCGTTTTCCAAAGCGTCACAGGCGTGGTAAACCCTATCTTGGTAGCCCAGTGGTACCTTTTTACCCTTTTCTGGTAGCCCAAGCCCTAAATCCTAAACCCTAAATTCGGTGCCCTTAGTGTAAGACGGTTTCTGGGCTACCAAGCTATAAACCCCATGAACCCCATGAGCCCCATGGCGCCCGAAACCTTGGGCGAATTGGGTTGAGGGTGTTGGGTCATCCTACCTTAAACCCAGAACCCCAAACTCCAAACCCCACACCCTAAACCCTAAACCCCAAACCCTAAACACTAAACCCCAACGCCATAAAATGCTTGGGGCCTTAGGGACCCCGAAATCGTTCCAGGACTCCACCGCCTGAGTCATGGGCAAGTCGCGCTGGCACGATTATCCCTGTACAAGGATGGCAGCCAAGTTCCCTCTTATCCTAGGGTTTAGGGTTTAGGGTTTAGGGTGTAGGGTGTAGGGTTTAGGGTGTAGGGTGTTTTTGAGATGGAGCTCGATCGTAGGTAGGATACGGGGGACCCTTACAAGGGAACCCCTTCTTAACCCTCTTCTGGCTCTCTTAAACAGGGACCTTATTCAGAGGGTCTAGATCCCCAAGGGTCCCCCTAATCCTACCCCCTATCTTGTATGGATCTCGAGTCTTATAGACCCCATCAAGCGACAAAAGTGGCATCCTTTTCCCAGGATACTGGGCAACCCTAAACCCTAAGCCCTAGCCCTAAACCCTAAACCCTAAACCCTAAACACCAGCCCTAAACCCTACACCCTATGTCCTCTCCCCAAAAATGGCCCCTCAAGCCAAGAGCAGAAAGCCCAAGTTCTGTCATGAGTCTGTTGGCGCGGTTCCTTGTGGGTTTCCAGGGTTTAGGGCTTACGGAAGTTTAGGGTTTAGGGTTTAGGGTTTAGGGTTTAGGGTTTAGGGTTTAGGGTTCAGGGTTCAGGGTTCAGGGTTCAGGGTTCAGGGTTCAGGGTTCCGGGTTCAGGGTTCAGCTGCTTGGGGGGCTCCTATTCAAGGCTTCTTTGAGGGGGCTTTAGGGTTTTGGGTTCTGGGGTGTGGAGAGCGCTGCAGGTCCAAAAAGGCCGTGCTCCACGATGCAGGCGCGCATCCCTACCACGTTTTTGCCAAAAACAATGGGGTTTTGGAGTTTTTGGGTTTTAGGGTTTCAGTGATTTAGTGCCCTAGGGTACAGGGTTCAAGGTTGCTAGGGTTTTAGGGTTTTAGGGTGTTAGGGTTTTGGGGTTTTAGTGATTTGGGACCCTCGGGTTTATTTCGGGTTCAAGGTTTCTAGGGTTTTAGGGTTTGAGTGGTTGAGTGCCCTCGGCTTTAGGGTCCTTCTGAGGCGATTTGCAAAAATCCATGCGAGGCAGAAGAAAACCCCTAACATTCCCTAAACATGAAACCCTAAAACCCAGAAAAACTCCAGCGGTGCACAATGCCACCTACAGCCCCCAAACGCCTCAACCCCCAAAAGCCCCTAAACCCCACTAAACCTCCCCTAAACCCCCTAAACCCCCTAAATCCCCCGAACCCTCTCAAACCCCCGAAGCCCTAAACCCCCTCAATCCCCTCAACCCCCCCCCCCCCCCCCCAAAACACGTTCTTGTTTGGGTTGATCGCGTTTCTGGCCCGAAGACCCAAACTGAACCCTTATGGAAGGTAGCACATGTTCGCCGACCGCTTCCGTGCCGCAGTGGCACAGGACACTCCGGGGCTCATTTTAGGTTTAGGGTTTAGGGACTAGGGTTTAGGGCTTAGGGTTTAGTCTCTCAGCCACCGAGCGCGGCGAAGAACGAGAACCCCGAGGCGGAGAACGCCCATGCAGGCCTTGAAGGCATGCTGCAGATGATGGACTAAGGCCGCCCTTCTCAGGTGCAGAAGACCAGCAGAACGTCAGTCAAATGGAAGAGACGAATGGAAGAGACGACAAAACTCTACAAGCACAAAGCTACAAGAAAAGCAGCATTGCGAACTTTTAGTGCATGTTGGGAGTGCTGTTGGCCACCCTCCAAACCCCCTAACCCCCCTGCCCCCCCCCCCCCCCCCCCCCCCAACAACCCCTAAACCCTAAACTAAACCTAAACCCTAAACCCAAACCCTAAACCCTAAACCCTAAACCCTAACCCCTAACCCCTAAACCCTAAACCCTAAACCCTAAACCCTAAACCCTAAACCCTAAACCCTAAACCCTAAACCCTAAACCCTAAACCCTAAACCCTAACCCCCCCCAACCCCAACCCCAAGACATCGCTCCGGAGGTGGCAAGAAGATCCTGCATCCCGCCGAGGCAGATCGCAAGAAGGCCCCGGGAGAGCGAGAGTAGCGGCTCTGTGTTTTTTTTCGGGCGTTTGTGCTTTTGGGGGGTTTAGGGTTTAGGGTTTAGGGTTTGGGTTTAGGGTTTAGGGTTCAGGCTTCAGGCTTCAGGCTTCAGGCTTCAGGCTTCAGGCTTCAGGCTTCAGGCTTCAGGGTTTAGGTTTAGGGTTTAGGGTTTAGGGTTTAGGGTTTAGGGTTTAGGGTTTAGGGTTTAGGGTTTAGGGTTTAGGGTTTAGGGTTTAGGGTTTAGGGTTTAGGGTTTAGGGTTTAGGGTTTAGGGTTTAGGGTTCAGGGTTCAGGGTTTAGGGTTTAGGGTTTAGGGTTTAGGGGCGTAGTTCGGATTTACGGGGTTATGCGCTTGGGGAGTTTAGTGAGTTCAGGGCTTAGGCACTCAGACTCCAACAGCCTAAATCCTGAACCCTGAACCCTATACCCTAAACCCTAAGCCCTAAACCCTAAACCCTAAACCCTAAACCCTGCCAGAAGTGCGGCATAGATCTTCCTTCTTCCGTTGAGGCGAAGCAGCGCCTCCGCGAGAATCGGGCTAAGAATCGCAAGAAGCGCCTTGGCTTTTGGAGCATCTGGTAGGGTTTAGGGTTTAGGGTTTGGGGTTTAGGGTTTAGGGTCTAGGGTCTAGGGTCTAGGGTCTAGGGTCTAGGGTCTAGGGTCTAGGGTCTAGGGTCTAGGGTCTAGGGTCTAGGGTCTAGGGTCTAGGTTTAGGTTTTAGGGCGTCGGGCGTCTTAAGCTGTTGAGGGCTGTTACTTGGATTTATGTCAATGGATGACTGCTCCTGCTTAAATGGTTGCTACCAAGCCGTGCTGATACACATTAAACGAATGGATGAACACCAGCAAACTGTCGATGATTATGAAGTAGGGTTTATATTTCTGTTTTTGGTGAGTGTATATAAGGTTCCTTTTTAATATTGGTGAGCGTATATACCTGTCCTTTTCGGGGTACAAGAAATATATACCCTGCTTCATATCAATGCAGTGTGGGAATGCTAGGGTCTTGGAGGGTAGGTTCGAGGGGTGTCGGGGCTATGCTATAGGGGAGGTTTAGGATTTATCAAGGGACTAAAAGGAGGGACCGTTACAAGGGACCTCAGGGTTATAGTTAGGGGTTATTTAGGGGCTCTTAAGGTTTATAGGGACTCTATAAGTTATTTGGGGGTTATGTAGGGGAATAAGATTCAGGGTCCCTTCCAGGGTCCCTCCTTATACCCCTTAACCCCTCAACTCTAAACCCTGAACCCCTTAAACTTAGCTTTTCATGAACGCCAGGCGCTTTGAAGCAAAGATGCTCGAGAAAGACACGTCGCTTGTACAGGCGGAGATCACGGAGTACAAGGCACGTGCTTCCCACTGGGAAGCGTCAACCCCCCATATGATGAAGCGCTAAACCCCTAAACTCTTAAGCCCGAAACCCTGAAACCCTAAGCCCCCCAACCCTCAACCCTGTCAACCTGTCAACCCTAACAATGACTATAACCATGCAAGCCCCTTTTAACCCTACAAACCCTACACTTCAAACAACACTTTTTAAAACAAGCCTTGTTAAACCCTTTTAAACACTTTAACCCCCTAAACCCTAAACCCTAAACCCTAAACCCTAAACCCTAAACCCGAAATAGTCCTACATGCTCGGCTCCCGAAGTGAGGGCCCCGCTATTTGGGTTCCTATCTGAACCGCTCTGCTGGGTTCTTGCCACAAAACTTACAATAAGGGTTTAGGGTTTAGGGTTTAGGGTTTAGGGTGTAGGGTTGCCATGATACAGGTCTTCGGCTTGATTTAGGGGGCTTTTCAGATTTTGCGTTTGAGGTTTAGGGTGTTTTCCATCCATTTTTCCAGCGCAAGGCTTTTGGGAAATTTGGTTGCGGTAGTAAAGGTCTGGGGCTTGCTTTAAGGCGCTTTTTCAGGTTTAGGGCTTGAGGCTTTGTGGTACTTTACGGTAACTTTAGATCCGCACCTTTTTGGGGTTTATTGGGTTTCTTATTAAGGCAGCTAAAAGTTTAATGTATGGCTACCCTCCTGAGTGCAGCCAAGGGTTTTGAGTTTTTAGGGGGGTCAGGGGTAATTTGCTTTGGGTCTTGTGGCTTTCAAAAGACGGGCTGGCAGAGGGTGTAGGAGGACCTGTCAACCCCCCCCCCCCCAGAGATAGGCCCATCTTCTCGAATGTTAGGGTTTAGGTTCCCTTAAATAAGCGCCCCCTGTTAAAGGCACCCTTTTTATTCCTAGGTTACCCTTGGGTTTCGAAGGGTGCAGCTGCATCAGGAGCTGGAAAAAGCAGGGAAGCTTACCAAGTGGTGCGCCGGGATCTTCTCACGGGGACTTCGGGGTTTAGGGTTTAGGGTTTAGGGTTTAGGGTTTAGGGTTTAGGGTTTAGGGTTTAGGGTTTAGGGTTTAGGGTTTAGGGTTTAGGGACCTTGGGCAGCCTCAGCTTTCTTAGATCCCCCTGAAATCCGACACCCTTGGCAAAGCCTAAGTCCTTACGCCCTCAAGCGCAGAGTCCCAAACCCCTAGAAGCTTGAACCCTAGACCCTGCCTTCAAGAGACCACGTTAAGCTCTTAAGCCCTTATGTCGCCCCCTAACCCCTACAGCGCTCACTACCCACCCTAGCTACCTGGGACACCCGGTCACCCTAAACCCTAAATCCTAAACCCTCTTTTTCTTTCTTTTTTTTTGTGGGGAGGGGGGGGGGGGGTTTGGCTTCGGGTTTTAGGGTTGAGAGTTTAGGGTTTGCAGGGGTCAGGGGGCCCAGATTCTCTGGAAAACCCGCGTCTAAAGTGGGACAACAGCGCGAACTTGAACATGCCAGGATTGCTGGTCGGTTTTGCATTTTGCATGCGGGTGGGTTAGGGGGTTGGGGGGTTTGGGGTTTAGGGTTTGGGGTTAGGGCGCCTAGGAGATGGCACAGATCGGGGCTGAGGGTTGCGGGTTTTACCGTTGAGGGTCTGGGGCCGATTGCTATCCCAAAGGGCTTCAGACACCTGTTGTAGGGATTACCTTTGCCCGCACAGGGTGTGCTGCATAATCCCTTTTTGTGTATACTCGTGTCTGCCAATCCCTAGGCCCCAAAGCTTCAAAGCCCCCTAGCCTACCGGCCGAGGATCCCTGCGCAAGATAGAAGACCCTAGACCATGAACCCTAAACCCTAAACTTTAAATCCTCAAGAATTGTTTAAATAGAAATTGTTTCGCCTCACCAAGCACATGGCTTTCAAGCAAAAACCAAATTAAGGCCAAAACATAGGGGTTTGTCCCTAGGTTGGCGGCCTTGGAAACCCCCCAAACGGCCAAGTTTAGTGATGTTTGACCATTTTGGGCTTTCACAAACCCATGAAGGCCACAACATAGGGATTTTCCCTAGGTTGGCGGCCTTGGAAGCACCCCAAATGGCAAATCTTTTGTGACGTTTAGTCATCTGGGGCCCTCACATTAACGCCAATCATAGGGATTTTCCCTAGCTTGACGGCCTTGGAAACCCCCCAAGTAGCGAATTGTAGTGACTTTTGACCAAGTTGGGCCGTAGTTTGGCGGCCTTGGAGCCCCCTTCAGTTTTCACAAGCCCAAATCTATGGCCAACAACATAGGGATTTCTGGTGGCTTGAGAAGAACCCAAAGAGCAAGTGTTTTTGTTTCTCAGCTGTGTTGGCCAAATCAGCCTTTCTCAGCCAAAAGCACCAAATCTAAGGCCAAAAGCACAGGTATGTCCGGAGATGGCTTGAAAGTAAGCCCGAAAAAGAAGATATGTTGCTCCAGCTTTTTCCGCCTTTTTCAACCAAAAGCACAAAAAAGAGCACAAAACTCCGGACACGAACCCCCTACAATTTCTATACACCCAACACCCTAAACCCTAAACCCGAAACCCTAAACATTGCAATCTTCGGGGTTCCATGCGATGCAGCCCATGCAGGCGATCCCTGAGGCGATGGAGGCGATGGAGGCGATCGCGATCCAGGCTTTCCAGGTCCCAACTCCAATGAACTTTCCCGGAAAAGACACTCGCGAAGGATGCTCGCTGAAGCTCCCTTTGGCGTCGGGCGATGTCGCTGCCCTAAACCGGGGAACCTCGCGCGCCTGCACGTGGAGTTGTCCGACGCAGTGCGGTATGGGCGTGAATGGCCATGAATGGCACATCACCCACCTTGAAGAGTGCCTGGGAAGGGGGGGGGGGCGCATGTGTCCTGGAAGACAGGCAACAACCCCTAAACCCTAAACCCTATAAACCCTAAACCCTAAACCCCTAACCTCCCCCCCCCCCCCCCGAAACATCGACACCTGGAAGGAAGAAGGACAAGATGGATCGGGAGGTGGCCGTCTTCGGCCGGCTAAAGGAGAAGGCAGGGTTTAGGGTTTAGGGTTTGGGGTTTATTGTGTTTAGGGTTCAAGGTTTGTTGGGTTTATATCGGGCATTGCCACATCTCCGGGACTTGCGGGCACAGTGATGAGCCTTAAGCCCTAAACCCTAAACCCTAAACCCTAAACCCTAATTTCAGGCATTTAGGGCTTTCGGGTTGGAGGGTTTTGGGCGTTAAGGGCTTAAGCCGTACAACCCAAAGCCTGGGGCTACTCAGTTACACCCACTTTAGGGGACCCTAAACCCTAAACCCTAGCCCTAAACCCTAAACCCCCTACAGTCCAATGAAAAGCTTGAAAAACCACGAGTCCCAGCCCCTGCCTCGCATGAAGGATGCGTGTTGCATGTGGGGTTTAGGGTTTAGGGTTTAGGGTTTAGGGTTTAGGGTTTAGGGTTTAGGGTTTAGGGTTCAGGACTTAGCGTTCATGGACGTTGCTACTACACATTGTTAGGGTTAAGGGCGTTGGGTTTAGGGTGCAGGGTTCATGGAGCCTCTAACTAGTTATACTTGGGGGCGGGAGGTGGGTGGGTGAGTTGGGCTTAGCAGCCAGGTCGTAACTGGGCTAACATATAACCCATATTGCAAGTCGGATTTTAAGCTCAGCTTTGAAAAGTTTAGGGGTTTCAGCACAGGTGGAGCAGAACACGCGGAAGCGATTCGAGGACAACGCAGGTGGGCCGGGTTTAGGGCTTGTCCACATAGCCCCCCTTGAAGGGAGATGATTTAGGGTTTAGGGTTTGGGGTTCCGAAAGCAGACCAGTCTGAAACGCCAAGGCTCTATCGTCCTGACCCTAGACTCTGTGGTGCTTTACTGTAACTTCAGATCCTTAGCCTTTTTGGGTTTATTGGGTTTCTGAATAAGGCAGCTAAAACTTAAATTTGAAGCTACCCTGCTAAGTGCAGCCAAGTAGACCCTAAGCCCGAAACCGACTACATGCCCCATAACGCCCTTGCCCTTCAACCATGAAGACACACGAAGGTTATACATCTCAATCCCTAAACCATGAAAGAGCACAGATCTTTCCCTTCAAACCCAAGCCCCAAAACCCATCTGAGAAACACGAAAGTTATACACTTAATCCCTAAAACCGTTGCCCAAACCCCGAAACGCCTAAACCCTTAAGAAACACTAGGGTAGTTTCCTAAATTAGGGTCCCTTTGTGGGTACCCATGCTAAGGCGGCACTCTTTGAAAAATGGTCCCAAAATAGGAACCCGACTGTAGGGAACTACCCATGAAGATGATAGGGGACCAGTTCTACGTGGACTTCGATGAGCTCAAAATCCATCGAAAGGCGTGCGGAACTCAGTTCGGGCGTCGGGCGGGGGGGGGGAGGGGGGGGGGTTGGGATTTAGCGTTTTTTTGTTTAGGGGTGAGGGCTTAGGGTCTAGGGTTTTGTCTTCAAGCTCTGTGTACGGGGGAGCTGGGAGTCTTTTGGCACTCACCTTCGGAACTCCCGAATATTCCCTACTCCACTTGGGGGGGGGGGGGGGGGAAGATTGGCTCTAAACCCTAAACCCCTACGGCAATTGTCGCTGCTGCATAAACTTTGTTCCCGGAAGCAAGTTCTACGTCCAAAAGGTTTAGGGTTTAATCTCCTCTTCTTGGGTTTGGGTTTTTTTGTTTAGGGTTTAGGGTTAGGACTTTCTTGGGATATACAAAATCCTTAAGCACACCCCAAACTTGGAGAGTACAAACTTGGAGAGTCTGACTGGCTTACTCGCCCGCAACGCGTTGCCGACAGATTCATCACCGAGGTCGATCTTCTACGACCCTGCCACGTGCTCAGCTGCTTTTGGCCTGAGACATGAGGCTTAGTTTATTGGGGCCTAGTTTTGGGGCGCGGCCGGAAATCCGGTATAAGAGGGTTGAGGATTGTAGGGGTTGAGGTCAGAGATCCGAGCTCGCAGGGCTTCAGGGTTTGGAGTTGAGGGTGTGAGTGCGTTCCGGCTTCAGGGTTTAGGGTTTAGGGTTTAGAGGGTGGGGGTGGGGGTGGCGGGGGGGGGGGGGGGGGGTTTGGCAGTTTGGCAGCCTACACGTTGGCACGGAGGTATACTTAGGGCTGGCTACTACTTGCTTAAGAACCCCGAAAAAGTACAAATACTCTTCCGAATTAAGGTTAGTATAGGGATTGTTTTGTTTTATTCTTTTGGGGTTCTTAAGCAAATAGTAGCTTGGGGTTCTCAGGCCACTCGAACTCAAGAGATCAGGGAGTCCCCTTGGAGACGCGCCTGTCTCATCTCGTTTAGGGCGTAGGTGAGACCACACATCCTAACCCTAGGGTTTAGGGTTCAGGGTTTCGGTTCTGGGGTTTAGGGTTTAGGGTTTAGGACAAGAGCCTCAAGCACAAGTGTGTCCCGGAAGTAAGCCTAAGCTTGAGAGCGACCCGAAACCCTAAACCCTAAACCCCAAACCCCAAACCCTAAACCCTAAACCCTAAACCCTAAACCCTAAACCTTGAGAGCGAGGTCAAGAATCCCTACGGCGCGCCGCCACAGGGACAGGTCCTGATGCCGGAGACTTGGGAAGAGCTTACCTTGGGGCCCAGCGTAGGCCCTGATTCCCCGTGTTTTAGGGTTTAGGGTTTAGGGTTTTTCCAGCAGTGAAAGGGTTTAGGGCTTAGGGTTTAGGGTTTGGGGTTTAGGGTATAGGGTTTAGAGTTTAGGGTTTAGGGTTTTAGGGTTCAAGCTTTGGGCTTAGGTTCCCTTGTAAGCCCCTTTAAACCAAAAAGGGCACCCGTTTATTCCTTGGCTACTCTTGGGTTGAGGACGGAGGATACCCTGCAGAGATGCAACATGTTCCGAGTTTCTTGATGCTGTCGCAGAGCTAGACGAGATTGTTTACAGTCTGCCACATGGGGGTCCACGAAAACAAGGGACCCCAAAATATAGACCCCAAATAGTAGGATCCCCTTGTGGTAAGGACCCCAAAAGGTACCCTGTAATATTGTAAACCCCCACATGGGTAGATAGCATGTATTTCTTTTGGCAAGCGGAGCCCGCCACCGCACACTGCGGGGTCGGGAATGTCTACTAGAAAGTTTGATAGGTGTTATGTGCCTTGGTAGACCTGTTCAGCCTAGAGTAACAAACCCATGGACAGTTCTTGAGAAGCCTGCGGCCTGTTGAGATCCATCTTCCTATTTCCCTCACACTCCACTCCGGGTCCGTTCCGTGCAGACGCAGGGATCACGTGCCAGACCATCCCAGAAGCGAGTCGTCTCGAGGGGCTAGAGGATGCTATGCTGGACTGTTTGGGGGGTCAAAGGACGTTGGTCTTGAAGCTTCAAACTTAGTTCTGTTGGTTCTTTGCCTGCTGGGGTACCTGGGTGCTGGGTTTAGGGTTTAGCACTTGTAGGAGCGAAACCAGTCTGTGTTTCTCGTGGTTGTCAGAGAAGCAGGGAAAAGACTGTGGAGTTGTGGCTTGCGCACACAGCGTAGGCGTGCAGGGCGCAGGGTGTCGGATTTACATGCTCAGGGCGCGGAAGACCGGGTCCAACATGGAGATCTACAATCATTTATGATAGGATTTGGGGTTTAGGGTTTAGAGTAACCCTTAATTATGAATCCTACAAACCCTGCAAGCCCTAAACCTATAAGCCCCTAAAACCCCTTCAAACCCGACAAACCCCACAAACACCCCAAACACTTCATGCCCCATAAACCCTATAAGCCCCTTTAATCCCGATAAACCCCCAAACACCCCTTAACCCTCAACCCGAAACCCTAAACCCCAAACCCCAAACCCTGAACCCTTAAACCCCAAACCCCAACCCCAAACCCCAAGCAAACCCCCCCCCCCAAACCCTAAACCTTTAACTCACATGAGGGAGGGGCCCGCGCCTGCAAAGAATACCTATACCCTAAACCAGAAAGAAACAGCCTAAACCCTAAACCCTAAACCCTATAAAGCCCCCTGAGGTACCGGCATCCCGACGGCTCTGTCAAGCGAGAGCCGCCGCCTCTGGCGCCGGGATGCTGAGACGTTTAGGGTTGAGGGTTTAGGGTTTAGGGTTTAGGGTTTAGGGTTTATGGCTTAGGGAGTTTGGGGTTTTGTGGTTTTGGGTTTTAGGCAAAATTTAGGGTTTAGGAATCAAAGTGTAGGATTTCTGTTGGGTTTAGGGTGTTCAGAGTGCTGGGCGTTACGGGTTTTGGGGTTTAGGGGTTTGGGAACTAAAGTTTTGGGTTTAGGACGTATAGTGTAGGGCTCAAAAGGTTTGTGGTCCACGGTTTTCGGGTTTAGGGCCTTCATCGGTTGTGTCAGGGGGATTCAGGGCTTAGGGCTTGTAGGGTTTAGGGTTAGGGTTTAGGGTTTAGGGTTCAGGGTTCAGGGTTGAGGGATGGGGGTGTTTAGGGTTCACAGGGTGTTCGGGCATAGCGGACTTTAGTGAAAGGCACAAGGGCTTTACAGGGCTCAGGGTGTGCAGGGGTTTTGCGGTTTAATCCCTTCCCCTAATATTAAACGGGGGGTCCCCCCCCCAATAGAAACTCGAAATGCGTTTTTATTATTAGGGGGAGGTTTTTATCGAAATGTCAGAACCCTAAGCCCTAAACCCTTAACCCTAGACCCCCAACCCTAAACCCTCTGAGGGTTTTTATTGGTGTTGAGGGGGTTTATTGGAGGCCTGAACCCCCCCCCCCCCTAATTCGGAATAGGGTTTTAAAGGCGGGTCGGTTTCGGCAGGATTTTCCGGAAAGTGTTTTTAGTATTAGGGGGGTCTTTAATAAAAGGGGGACGGGATTATAGGGTTTAGCATAGAACAGGCAGGGGCGCAAGGGGTTGATAGCGTTTAGGGCTTTCGTTTTGGGGACTCCGAACTCCAGCCCTCTATACCTGGATCTACTAAACCCTGTGCATAGTTACCCTAAACCCTAAACCCACTTAACCTTGTACTTTCTGAACCCTAAACCCTGGAATCCCTTAACCCTAAATTGTCTAACCCTGAGTACTAAACCATAAACCAGGCTTCTTTCACACTTTGGAATTCAGGGTTTAGAGGTGTTTCGGGTTTAGGTGTTGGGGGGTTCTTGGGGTTTCGGCGCGTGTGTTAGGGTTTTCGGGTCTAGGGTTTACGTGGTTACGTATAGTTTAGGGCTTGGGGTTTTTTAAGGCTTTAGGATTTGGGAGGGAGTGGGGTTTAGGGTTTAGGGTTTCGGGTTTAGGGTTTAGGGTTTAGGGTTTGGGCATGAAGCTCCCAAAGCCTTTCACCCGGGTTCTACGTCAGCACAGTACACGGCGATGACCGCAGATGGGGGCATCTCCGCCTCCTTGGCTTTAGGGTTTGGGGTTCAGGGTTTAGGGTTTAGGGCTTTAGGGTTTAGGGTTTAGGGCTTTAGGGTTTTAGGGTTTCAGGGTTTTAGGGTTTTAGGGTTTTAGGGTTTCAGGGTTTTAGGGTTTTAGGGTTTTAGGGTTTTAGGGTTTAGGGTTTAGGGTTAAGGACACACACATTGAGCAATTGCGACGAGCGATGCAATTGGCGGCTGAGACTCTGGCGCACATGGACAACACTGCCTGGTTCTAATTCAAATCCCTGCCCCTGTTATTAAACGGAGACCCCCCCCCCCAACGGAAAGTCGAAATGCGTTTTTACTATTAGGGGGGATGTTTTTTATCCATATGCCATCTTTTGGGATAGGGTTTAGATTGGCTTGAAGGTTTCTGAGGCTCTGAACCCCCCCCCCCCTAATTCGGAATAGGGTTTAAACGGCGGGGTCGGTTTCGGCAGGATTTTCCCAAAAGTGTTGCTATAATCAGGGGGACGTTTAATACAAAGGGGAAGGATTACAACACCAGCTCCCGCGACCTCCTTCGTGCATAGTTGACCTAGTGGCTTCTGAACGTTGGTGGGTTATAACTCGCATACGCCTACGCTCTACACCCTAAGCCACAAACCTGTTTGGGGGTTCTTAAGTTGGAGCTTAGGGTATCAATTCCTACAAGGCGTGTCGGCATCGCTCTGAATATCTGGCCTCAGATCCAGAGTTGACTTGTGGGGTTTAGGGTTCAGGGCTTAGGGGGTAGGATTAGAAAACGAAAGGGACCATATCAAGCCCTAAACCCTAAACCCTCAACCCCAAACCCTACTCTTTCCCAAGGCAAGGTTCTGTGCGCGCTGCCATGACGGACGGCCTCGTTCCCGGCCATAGCGACATGGCTCCCCGGCTGCAAGAGCCCTTGAGGGGCGTTCAGGGTCCAAAACCCTCAACCCTAAACCCCTGGGGGTGGTTAGGGTTTTCAGGTTTAGGGTAAGAACCCTTGGGGGGAGAGTTTAGGGTGTTTAGGGTTTACCATAAGAACGCTTGGGGGGTTGGGGGGGGGGGGTTAGTGTTTCGGGTTTTCGGGTTTTGGGGGTTAAGGGTTTTGTTTCGGCCTTGAAGCCCAAGAGATTCCCACATGCGACAAAATTGACATGTACAATTTGTGTGTTGGGGGGGGGGTACCTTATGGGGTTTAGGGTGTCGGGTTTTGGGTTTATGGAATTTTCCGAAATCAGGAGGATACCTCTTTGGGGTCCTTATGGTAAGAGAATCCGACTAATTGGGGGACTATATTAGGCGGACCCTTATTTGCTCGAACCCCATATTCCACAAGAGGCAGTCACAAAGAGGCGCTAGAAAGACGACTGGGGCCACACCGCGTCTAAGGGCATCCTTTGACTCCATACCCAATACGCAAGAGCCCGCGGAACCCAAAACAAGAACCTCAACCCTAACCCCAACCTCAGGGAAACCTCTACAACCCTAAGCCTAAACCCCAACTTGGGCCCCAAACCCTAAACCCCCAAACCCCCTAAACACTAAACCC